TTTTACAAGAACTTGACGTTTTCCGGTGCTTAAAGGGGCGGTGGAAATAGATGATTATAAGAAGATATGAAGAAGTGAAAGATGAGATGAAAAAGTAAAGTTTTTTATTCAAAGGAATAGCCTAATATTTATAGAAGGAAGACGACGGTTCGGCGGCGCTAGTGGCCGACCAGTACTGGCATACATTTAATGTTTTGGGGAAGCGAACCGACGGGATGTTTCAGTCACTCGAGCGCCTACATCACAGTGATGACATCATAGTTATGGACTCCGAAAATCGAGGTTCAAATCGTTTCTTCTCATCTTATTCTAAGAAATGCAAGGACTATCTATATACGGTCAAAATCATATGCCTCCGATTTATAGGCTCGAGGGTCCATCCTAGGCCCGAGTCCGGGCGAGGTTGAATTCGAGACCGGCGGACCAGACTCGAGCTCGAAGACAGGGTGCAATGCCCGGAGATAGGAGTACGAGGAATACCGGGGCCAAGTATGCTCGACCCCGAAATAGTACCGTTATGGACTTGTAACGGAATGAGCTAGATTCCTGTCACGTACCCAAGATCATGGCGCAAATCCCGGAATAGGATTGCACGATTCCGTACTAGGCGGTTAGACAGTTGAACCAAGAATATTCCTTACTGTAAATATAAATATACCTTATTTAGGGTTCCCCTATTATATAAAGGGGACCCCAATCATTTTGAACATCATCTAATCATTGAGCAAAGAATATACTCTCTACTTTTTTGCCTACTGTTCATTAGAATTGTCCTTATCTCTACTGCTATTACTGTACTTTTCTTACCTAATTGTTCTTATTGTTCTAAACTCACCTCGAGGTCATCAAGCTCGAGGTCACTACTGCTGAGTAACATTGGTTTGATTCACTTATTTATTTCATTTCTACTTCATATTTCTTGATTATTAATTGATGTTAAACTAAATCACATATCTTTAAAATCACTAATCAAATTTAATTGTTACACGTATTTTCGAGGTAAACAATCAACCCACGCTTTATTTTTGTTTTAGACATAACAAGTTTAGTTTTTAGCTCCAACATAGTATCTTCTAAAGTTCACGTAATACTATCTTTTATTATCTTTATAGTCGCATGCCTGTGATATGTTTTTTTAATATCAACTAAGCATTCATGAGTCTTCTGCAACTTCACCATCTTTGATTCATTTATTCTAAAAGCTCTAACAATCCAACCTCTTTTCATTAGCACATTTCACTAAATATCAAGTTTTGCTTGATCTTGTAACTTTAAATTTAAAATGTTACTTGATAGCTATATCTTGAAAATATTTAATCATAATTTTTTTATTTGAATATAAGGAACAAACTCTAATTTTCTCTAACAATGTATCTTATTTCAATATTTGTGTAGGCGATTCTTTTGCTTTTGTCTTTCGATTGCTTCATTTTTGATGAGTATGCAATATTTTAGGAATATCATCGATCACTAGTGGACTGTTAAAATTTGAAGAATAAGTTTATGTTTCAGAAACTAAGATCTGATATCTGAAGTTGCATTGAAGAGATAGAACTACTTAAGGGCTGATTTTTCTGAAGTTGCATTGGAAAGATAAAAGAACTTAAGATTCGATTTCTAAAGGTGCATTGAAGAGATAGAACTACTCAAGATTCGATTTTTTGAAGTTGCATTGGAAAGATAAAAGAACCTCAGATCCAATTCTGAAGTTGCATTGAAGAGATAGAACTACTTAAGATTCGATTTTTTGAAGTTGCATTGGACAGATAAAAGAACTTCATATCCGAGTGGGTAAATTTTATAAACTTTGTGCAATACGGATATAACTTCAATGGCGACCCCAAAAGTAGGTGTTTGTTAAAAATCCACGAGGCGAATTCATGATTTGAGCCCTAAGGATTCAATTTTAATTTACTATTTGTTGCAATTTTAATAAAATTTTATATATAAGTTTATACGCCACGTCAAAACTACTTATTCAAATGAATCTGTATCCGAGTTGCATTTACTTTGGTCTCAAGGATATTTAGCCCCCGTTTGGCCACAAATTTTGCAAATATTTTCCAATTTGTTTTGGTAAACTTGTTTGTTTATAGATTTTATCTATATTGGAAAATTTTCAAATACCAAAACCAGCTCAAGAGCTGTTTTTGGCCCAAAGTATTACCGTTTGGTTTTAAAAAAAAAATCCAAAATTGCCCTAAACTTTTTTATTTTATTAAAAAGTCTACTTTCTGTTATTATAACCCAACTAATTCATATCTACCCCATTTTCTCTCATTAAACTCACATGGCTTTGCCGTTCTATATAAACAGAAGAAAATATTCACCAAAGTTGTTGTGCCAATTTGTGCCAATCCACCACAAAGATAAACTTTGAAGGTAATTTGCTAAAATCTGCTAATGTTTGTATAAAATTTCTTCAGATTTGGTTCACTTGTTTGTATGAATTTTCTTCAGAGTTATTCGGTATTTTTGATAGTTTTTAAAACTTATAGGTATAAATTATATTTCATGTTTTTTCAACAACAAAAAAAGTGAAATATGTTTTGAAAAATTATGTCCAAACAAATTTTCATCTTCAAATCAAACTTCACCCAAACTAAATTTAAAAAAAAAAAATTGAAAATCTATGGCCAAAACACTAGCTTAAGAAAACTTAAAAGCGCATATATCAGTAATATGCCAACCGGCTACAAGAGCGCAGTAGGTTAGCAAAATCCTTTACTTGACATTATGTTTGATCATAGTTGTTGCATTGCATAGAGTAGTAAATTAAAAAACAAAATATCTTAATTTAACACAGAACGTGTTAATTAGCGACCTCGATGTCCTAATTTCAAGGAATCCTAGAAAAAAAACCCTCAAAATTTGAAGATAAGGAAATAAAAAAGAAACACTCAAATCCAAATTTATATTAATGGCTCCTTCAGTCAACGCAGACGGTATAAACTTTGGATGTAAAAGGGAAAGCCCTGCAGTTTTTAATGCGTGAGCCTGAAATGCTACTCCCTCCTCCGATCCAAAATAAGTGATTTTTTGGTTGTTTTCACACATATTAAGAAATTCACCTTTTAACATTAACTAGCAATGATTTTGACCATATTAACATTTACTCTCTCTTCACATAAACACTCCTAACACATACTCCAACATTAATTACTCCAAGGGCAATGTAGGAAAAAAATAATTAATTCATTCTTGAAATCTAGAAAAATCACTTATTTTGGACCACAAGAAAAAAAACCAAAAAATCATTTATTTTGGACCGGAGGGAGTAATATTTTGTGTTACTCCCCCCATCTCATAATATGTGTCGTGGTTAATAAAAATAATTGTCTCAAATTATTTTTTATTTTAGAAGTTCAAGACAAAATTGATTATATTTTTTTCTTTTTTTACCCTTAATAATCAATTGCATTCACATTTAATAAAAATATGAATAATGTCATTGATAGAGACGACACATAAATTGAGAAAACATTTAATAAGAGTAAAGTAGCCAAAAATTATTCTTTCTTAAAGGGCATGCACAAGAGAATCACGACATATATTATGAGACGGAGGGAGTACATCCTAAACACTAAATGCAAAGCTTTTAATTTCAAACTATAAACACCTACGCCCCAAATATAAACTTGGTTTCCCAAAGTTTCAGGAGAATAATTAATGTAATATTCAAGATTTTAACCTTTATCTCACGAATATGGGGCATTTCAAGTAGGGGTGCTAATCGGGCTGATATTAATGCTTAACGATTCGGCTTATCGGTTATCGATCTATAAATATAGTAATTCGCTAGTCAATCAATAAGACATCGGGTGAATTGGTATCGGATTAGCGAAATTATCGAACGGTTTATCGGCTAAATCAAATAAACAATAAAAAAAAGTCGAGAACTAGAGATAAGGAAAAATTTAAGTCCAGAATTATATATACAATATTTCCTCCAATCGATTTGATCTAATGCCAACTATTATATTCCTGATATGTCAACTATTATGTAACTGTATGTTACTGATAACCAAGCAGAAGGAAATGTTTGATCACACATACTCCCACTTGGGAGTCTATCTGACTTTAGCCTTGGTATAAAATACTCTAAGTTCTCAATTATATCTAAAAAAAATAAGATTTATCGCACATCCTAAATAAAAAGGAAGCAGTAGTAAAATATTATAATTTATTAACTTAAAGAAAAGAAAGAATAAAGAAAAAGAAATTGCAAAACTCAAGAGTGCTAGACATAAGCTAGAAGAAAATGATGATAGGTTATGAAGAGGAAGAAAAAGGTAAAAGTGTAAATATAAAAAATTTTAACGGATGAATGGTTTATTCTATAAGGAAATTGAGTCATCCACCTCCAAACTATTAAGCCGCTAATAAGTGACCATAATAAGTGACTTTGGCACGCTCATTAAGAAAATACTAAATTCTATACTTAACTATTCTTAATTAAATATTTAATGTGAGTAAGAAAATTTTTTAGAGATATGTACATAAAGATAATTTTGTAAAAACAAATTTAATTTTTTCTTGATTATATAAATGGACACTTATTTTCGACCTAAATAAAAAGGCAAATTGGTCATTGTGGAGCGGAGGGAGTGTAAATTTTCAATCCGTTCACCAATCATTATCCCGAAAACTCAATACCAATAAGCCATTTTTGAACCCTATTTTGAAGAATTGTTTTTCTACTTGTTCTGTAGTTTGTGCATGTTTATTTTTTCTTTTCTATTTGGTAAGGAGTTAGCCTTATTTTGAGGGTTTAAATAAATAAAAAAGATTAAATAAATCTTGACATATTTTGTTTATTATTCTAGGAAACTGAATAAAATAGAACACTCGAGAGATTGTTACGAAGCTCTTTTACAGTCTCAACTTTTACACGCCAAGCTCTTTCCTTTGTATTAGCAAAGAATATATTATTAAAATTCTAAACTCTAAAGCAGCTGTAACTAGTGCCTGCATATGCGCAAGACAGTACAAAAATCAGGTCATTTGAACTAAAACCTTAGTAGAGAGTGCAATCATGCTGTGTGTATCACTTGCATACTCCCATTATACACCAAAAAGCCAAAAGATAAAGGCATCTATATTTCAGTTCATGTATATTGCTATTTTGCGCTAAAAGGGAAAAAAAATGCTTCTTTTCTTTCCACAAGAATCACCAAATGCAGGTCCTTAACTGTCTTAGGCAAAGTCCACCTCATATTAAAGATGAGGAAAACACAGTCATATCCGTGAGGCCAAAACACAAAGAAAGGAGAGGTGAAAACATCTTCTGCGCTCTCACATCTGATGTATATAAGGACTCTAAATCAATGTAAAGTGAGAACTACTTCATGTGTGAGTACCCTCCTACAGAAACATGCTAACTTATAAAAGAGGTTTGCTTTTCCAGTTTTTCTTCCATGGCTTGAGACTAGCCATCCTTGCTTATGGCCAGAGTTCACATGTAGTTTTCCTTTTCTCAGCCGTGTCCAGGTTAGTGAGAGTTTAGCATTAAGTAGAGTTCAAAAGCTTCCCAGATAATGTCACCACGCATTATTACTTCTCCTGAAGGTTACTTCTCAAACATGTCACCATCTGTAGTTAGTCTATGCAAAGTGAATAAACTTTTACTTGCAAAGTTTATGGAATAAATAACGCCACAGCAAACATTTCAGCATGTTAATACTACATACAATTCATCTCCATGGAAACAAACTGTTAAGACAACACATAAGATCAGAATTCATTACACCCATAAAGGAACAGTATCATAAAGGGAGCCAAAAAGATTAAGAACATGGGTTTCAGTAGCACAAACAATTAAGATGGAGAGTCATAATAACTCACTCATCAATACTACTGAATCGCATGGTTTTGAAGCATAAGAATAGCATTACGCTTCACCAGGCATATCACAAATGTGATTGTTTGAATAATGGTGCTTTGCCCTAATGATTAGATTGGTTTACGTTCTAAAGCTAGATAGTAATGAGCATATATAATTTAACACAACAGTTAGATTCCACGAAGTAACCATTGATTATCTCAATAGTCAATATATTTTTCAACTACACCATACAGATTTCTCGGTCATCAAAAAGAAAAAATTATGCTAGTAAATAAAGTACAACTAGAAATGCATGAAAGTTGAAAAACTCAAAAGAATGATTTAACTCTTATAATGCGAGCATGGAGAATCAAAGATTCAAAGTTGCCTATTTTTATTTGATTATTCATCCGTTTATCAATTTAGAACAGTAGACGCTATACTACTTGCAAGAAGACAGCGACAATATGAACAAGGATTTGACTTATATATCCTTACACAGAATTAGAGGAATAAGCCTACAATAGGACTGTCTTTACCTTTTGCTTTCCAGAGGTAATAACAGTGTAGCACAGGGAGGCGAACAGAATCTTCAGGTGAACCTCCAATTTTTTGGGGAGGTGCAACTTCTACTTCTTCAATTAACCATGGGTTCCTGGCTCCCGTGCAACCACAGCTGCAGCATGTAATTATGTTCACCCAAGATTTACCCAACCTAGTAAATGAAAGTGGAAAACAATGAAACCAAGTGTCAATGTAATAGCCCGTTTGGCCAAGCTGCAAAAATCAGCTTATTTTGAGAAGTGCTTTTTTTCAAAAGTGCTTTTCTCAAAAGTACTTTTGGTGAGAAGCAGTTTGTGTTTGGCTAATTAGTTTGAAAAGCACTTCTGAGCAGCAATTAATGTTTGGCCAAGCTTTAAAAAACTGCTTCTAAGTGTATTTTTCTCAAAAGTGCTTCTCAAAAAAGTGCTTCTGGAGATAAGCTACTTTTTTCTGTTTCTCTAAAACTGCTTCTGCTTCTCCACAAAAGCATTTTTTTCCTTCCAAAAGCTTGGCCAAACACCTCAATTTTTGGCCAAAAGTGCTTTTGGCCCAAAAAAGAGCACTTTTGGCCAAACAGGCTATAAAACTGATTCAGAAAAAGAAAGTCAAACCCATTTGCTCAAATTCATTTTCCCAAACCCAAGCATGCAAATAACATAGATTCCTACCATGTAGAATGGCAATGACCAACTCCCTCTGTTCAAAAAAGAGGTAGATGATTTGGTCAATGATAATTGTCCGCAGATATCTTATATCGATTCATCCACCTTCTGAGAATGAAAATTAAAGAAAAGACATTAAAGAGTTAAATAATTCTTTTAATAAGTTACATCAAAGAATTATAAAAACTATACCTCTCTTTTCATAAGTTATAAACCGCAGAATTTATGAATCAAGGTTGCCAAAAAACAATGAGGAAAATCGAGATACGAGAGAAGTATTCCATGCAGAAATTACAAATGACCAGTCAAAATAGACCAATTTCTTACACATGAGCATAGGCAATCATGATCAGTATAATTTAAGCAAATACAGAAAAATGAGAATAGAGATTAAAGACAATACATATAATAATAAGGCAACCCCCCCCCTCCCCAAAGCCCCCCCAAAAAAAAGAGAAAAGAAGAGGCAGAATGTGATAAATTTTATGAAAGAGTGAGACAAAGAATTCACCTTTGCAAGAAATGACCTGACCAGCAGTATTGCTAGGCATGAGACACTCCTCTTTCCTCTGTATTTCTATGTGATTGATTGGATTTATTGGCTTTAGATGATCATCGATGCATGTAAACTGCAGACACCCGGTGAGTAAGAGAGTGGAAAGTGGAAACCACAGAGCCATGAAGGTGAAGGAAAATACTTTAGAAACACAGACTGCACAATATAGATGCTAAACTGAAAATAACCACAGAAAAAAAAAACAGGGAGCTGAAGCAGTGGATAAAGAGAAAATCAAACCTTGGGAGGTGTAACATAGGTGACATTGGTGGAGGCTGACGAGAGGAGAGGCAACGTCAACAGCAACTGCAACGGAAGTTGAAGGTGACAGCAAACTGGAAGGCTGAGAGGATCTAAGTTGCAAGCTGAGAAAACTGAAAATTTTCTTTGAGAGTTTTTGGGTTAAAACCGTAAAATGCACACTCCTGCCCTTTCTTCCATAGACAAACCAGCTAGAGAGATGCATTCAACCTTGGCATGGGACAGAAGAATTAGATTAAGAATTGCTAGCTTTTTGTATGTCACTACAATAGAAAACTGAGTATTTGGTCCTAAGATCTCGAGATATAGATTTCCTGCCCGTCTTCTGGAGCTGCTTTACAATTTCAATGAAAACTCCAAAGTCCGGCTTGAGACCCTTGTCAATCATTTCATTAAGAATGTTTTGAGCAGTCATAAGATCTCCTTTCTTCTGATGAAGCCTCACCAGCAAGCTGTATAGTACATTGACACAGTGGTTATATTTGGCGCTCATGTCAATCACATACTTATATGCTTTCTCACGCTCTCCCGCCTCAAGCAAAACCTTAAGATAGGCAGCATGAGTAGTAGAACGAGGTTCCACATTCTCATTTACCATCAACTTCAAAAATTCGGAGGCAATGTCAACCCGACCACGGCTAGATGAATGATATACTAGAGTTTCATAAGTTATTGCATCTAGATTGAGACCCTTATTTCTCATTTCTTCGAGCACAATAGACACATCTTCCATCTTATCATTCTTACACAATGTGCCAAGCAGGTAGTTATATGAATTGGTGTTAGGAGAACAACCAAATTCAAACATCTCGTTGATAATAGCGCGTGCTTCTTCAATGTGGCCTGCCTTACACCTCTTACGGATCAAAATATTGTAGTGAGAAGCTGTTCTTTCAGTGATCTCTATTACAAATGTTGCCATATCGAATAAGTCCAAGCAACAGAACATCTCGATTAATCCATAAACACCAGAACCACGACAGGATCCTCCAATCTCATTTATCATATCAACCACTTTCCTTGTAGAATTCATCAATGAATCCTTACTCGATCCACATAAAGTTAAGAACCCAAAAGCCTTATCAGTTAAACAAATTTCTTCTGCCTTAAACTCTACCAACAAAGAGAGCATTGTTTTATAGTCATCTAACAATCCACAATTACATATAATCAGACTATTGACATAAGCACTGCGATAAAATTCAGGATACGAGTCTCGAAGCCAATTAAAGAACTTTAATCCAGATATTCTTTGTTCATTCACACGCTCAAAAATCTCAATGATGAGCTTGAATGATAGTTTTGGAGCCACCAAACTTAACCTGTGCGTCAAGTCTTCCCCACCACCCTTGAGAATCTCAATTGTTTCCAAAGTTTTTTCTGAATACACACTTACCGAAGGCTTACTAAGTCCACTCTTTTTGATTGTCAATTCATCAGTACAAGAACCTGCCACGTTCTCAAACTTTTCATTATCATGAAAAACATAGTCGAGTCGGAAGGTTGTACACAAACACCTCTAATGAGGGATCCATAACGATGGCCTAAATAAATGAAAAACAACAAGAAGCTAAGCACCTTGATCTCGAATACTGCATACATATGTGCACTGATATCAAAGATTCTTTCCTACAAATTGGGTATTAATTAACTTGGCAACTTGGAAAATATCCATATGGGATATTATAAAAGAAGGTTTTTTGCATAAAGGCTGGATCCCGTTTAGAAGGAGATCCAGATGGAAAAAGAAAACCCTTAGGTGGTTCTAAGTGAAACAGCACTCTTCTACTACTAAACTGAATTGGAAGCGTCTGAAGAAGGGATAATGAGAATTGAATGTGACTGGAGAATACACCTTGAACGAAAGAGGTTACGAGAAGAGTTTAGACTTTTAGCTATTGAGAGGCTGAGGCAGAAAAGTTTGGGACTTGAGTAATCTCAGGAGCATTAAGGATTCAAGGTTAGAACTTTTTACTCAAAAATCTTTCTTTTATTCCTTCATCCTACTGCTGCTAGGAGAAGCTTGAGTAGCCACAGTGGAGATAAACACGGGGGTAGTCACACAAAAACTGCAGAACATATTATTTTCACTTAGACAATAAGGTTTGAGCCAATAGCATTTACACTCTTTGAAATTTAGCCCTCTTTGCAGCTACAATTTGATTTCACATGTACTGTTGTTTCGACTATGAAAGGCCCAGATCATGCAGAATGATTCTTTTTTTTAAGCTAATGGTTTAGAAGATCATGCCGAATGATGTCGAGTTTAACTTACCCATAAATATGCATTCTCAAACTCTTTAACTTGGGGACAAGAAATCTTCTTGGTTAAGCTAAACAGAATACATAATAATAGCATGTTCCAAACGTAATAGGCCAGCAGCCTACCTTGGTAACACTTTCCAGCCTTGTCTTCTTTTATCAAAAACACTTTTAAGCATTCAAAATAACCAGACAGCAAATTTGCAGCTACAGATAACAGTGTTTTTTATTTCCCCACTATCTTTACACTCCAAACTTATTTTCAGAAAGCATGACAATGTAGTTCTACTAATACGCTATTCAATTTGATTAATACAATTTATCTTATCAAAAAAAACTAATACGCTATTCAATAGATAAGAGTATAAGACCTTAAGCAAATTAAACATAAGCCCTACAAACAACACATAAAGCCTGCATTTTTACAGTGTTTAGAGATGAAATCTAGAGTTCTCACCGAAAAAGTTTGTACCTTTAAGTTGTTTAGACCAAAACCCACCATCAAAAACCCGTCTTTCTGTTCCCTCAACACTTGCTGAATATTCATTGAACGCTGATTCATCAGTTTCAGAAGAGAGCTTCCAAGTATATAAAGGGTCTGAATCTTTGCCATTGTTGTTACCTGTGGAGAAGAAAAAGGAGTTGTTGGGAAAGAAATTACGCTTGGGAATGGAAAATGAGGATTTAGGGTTTAAGAAGTGGGTTTTGGAGGAAACTAGGGTTAGCAATAGGGGGTGTGAAGATTTTGAGATGAAGCGATAGAGCATTGCAGACTACAGAGGAAAGAGAAAGAGGTAAAGTGGAAGCTCTCCCCTTTTTTGCCAGGTCACGAAAAGATCACTTGTTGCAAAGATTTTAGGAACACAAGTTATAGTTCAAGAAATGAAGGATTGTGGTGATTTCTATGTCCATGGCTCAAATTACACATCGAAGTGACTAATAATTTTTCTATTTATATTTTTTGCTTTATATTGTCAAATTGGTATTGACAAAAATTTAAGATCAATTTTTATATTACTAGTTTTGACCCACCCTTATATTTTGCCCACGTTGTCCTAAACATTCATCCCATGATACATGATATCCGTTGTTTATTGAACTTTTCAGATTCAGACCATCGAGTGGTGGATTTTTGAGATATATACCTATCCTAAACTATAGTCTTCAGCTCTAAGAAAGGGAAATTTTTCGGCACAAAACATATGTTTTACATCCTGGTGGAGATCAATATAGGTGAACTACCAACAGGGGGCGGACCCATATAGGGTATGTTTACCCTAAAAATTTGGATAACAATTAAATTTATAATGTGGTTTTAAGGACACGTAATTTCATCTCATATCAATTGATAAATACGAAAATTAGTAGCAGAAATTAACAATAAAATTTAGCAAAACAGTGTTTGAACGGAGTTCAGCCCTCGAGTTGAATACCCTCGAATTGATCTATGCAAAAATAGTTAAAAATATAGCAATTTGATGAACAAGAATATAAGTCAGAAAGTATTGTATTGCTTTGATATGCGTGAATGTAAGGTGTTTACAAAATGACCAGAACCTTCTTTATATAGTAGAGAAATTCTATCTATAGTACAATTCTAATTACGGAAGTAAACCCCATGATTAGCCTAAACAATCGCCCTTCATTTGATATGTTCCGGGATTTTCGTCGTGATCTTCGACCAGTCTCGGATATCTCGCTTTTCCGTTATTGCGCTTTGCTCGAAGTTTGCCATATTTGGTCTCGATCGTTGCTAGCCTCGATCTCGATAGGCACCTCGATCCTCGAACTCGATACCTAGTCTTTGTGCTCTGGTCTGATCCACTACGAGGCTGGCCTTTGATGCAATTCCCTAGCCTCGATCAAATAGTAAAATCGTGTGATGACCCAAAAGGTCATCACTTGCATTTAAATTGAAATTTATGTTTTCGAGGCCTTGAAAACCTCATGTAGCATCACCTAGATTTGTGTGCGCAGTCCGAGCGCGTAGCCGGAAAGCTTATATGTGAAAATATGTGAAAATAATAAATTTTGACTGTAAAATGAGTTAATTTGACTTCGGTCAATGTTTTGGGTAAACGGACTCGGACCTATGATTTGACGGTTCAGGAGGGTCCGTAGGAAAATATGGGACTTGGGCGTATGCCCGGAATCGAATTCCGAGGTCCCCAAGCCCGAGAAATGAATTTTTAAAGAAAATTGTTTTATGAAATTGTTTAAAGGAATTTGAAATGAAATTTGATTAGAACATGATGGTATCGGGCCCGTATTTTAGTTCCGGCACCCGGTACAGGTCTTATATATGATTTAAAATGATTCTGTGGAATTTGATGAAAAACGGATGTCATTTGACGTGATTCAGACCTAAATTGCAAAATTTTATGTTTTAAGAAGTTTGAGGAAGTTCTTTGGTTTTGAGGTTTAATTGTTGTTATTGAGGTTATTTTGGCGATTTGATTGCACGGATAAGTTCGTATGATATTGCTGAGTTAGTACGTATGTTTGGTTAGGAGCCCCGAGGGCTCGGATGTGTTTCGGATGTATTTCGGAATGTTTTGGACTTATGAAAAGTTGCAGGTTTTTGCTGTCTAGTGCCCATGGATTTTGTTCTTCGCGTTCGCATAGGTCCACTCGCGAACGCGTAAGGCAAATTTCCCAGGAGCCAAACTTCTTCTTCGCGAACGCGAAGCTGGAGTCGCGAACGCGAGGCTAAGGAGGGATACCCTTCCCGAACGCGACACAGCTCACGCGAACGCGATGGCTAGTGAGCCTGGGTAGGGGAGGGGGCATTTTACCTACGCGAACGAGACTCATTGGACGTGAACGTGAGGCTCGGGGAGTTTCTTCTCCGCGAACGCGAGCCGGCTTCCGCGAAGGCTTATTAGGCCTAACCCATCGCGAACGCGATGAGTAATTTCGCCCAGTTATTTTAAAAGACCAGAACAGTAGCCATTACGGGATTTACACCAAAACTCATAACTTCTTCATCTTAACTCCAAATTGGGCGATTTTTGAAAGGGGATTCCACCACAAATTCATATGTATGTAATCTTAGACTCATTTTCTTCAATTACCATTAACACCCATTAGATTTTTAGGCTTAAATCATGTAATTAAGGTTAGAAAATTAGGAATTTGGGTAGAGTTAGGGCTTTTTGATTATTTGTGATTTAGACCTCGTTTTGGGGTCGGATTTGAAAACAAATTATATATTTGGGCTCATGGGTGATCGGATTTTGGTTCGAACCTCGTGTTTTGACCAAGCGGGCCCGGGGTCAATTTTTGACTTTTTGGGAAGAATGATTAGAAAGCTATAATTAAGCATTGGAATTGGATTATTTAGCGTTTATTGATGTTATGAAGTCGATTATATATAGATACAATTGATTTGGAGCTGAATTCGAAAGGAAAGGCAGTGTTTGAGGCTTGAGTTGGCCGTGGAAGTTCGAGGTAAGTGTTTGGTCTAACCTTAGCTTGAGGTTAGGAATCGAGTTTTATTTGCTATGTGATAATTTTTGAGTACGACGTATAGGCATGGTGACGAGTATCTATATGTTGGTGTCAAGTATGCCCGTGAGTCTTATATTGTGATTTTCATGACTTCGTTGTATCATCCATGCTTTAGAGTTGATTTCTATTTGTTGTGAGAAGTTTGTGGAAGGAATTGTGACCTTTGAACATCGAGGAGCATTGGCTCAAGTTATATTACGAATTTTGAAAGTATATGAGTTGATTGAACCCTTTGGAGCATTGACTCAAGTGGTAAAGTGAGTTGTGAAGTAAAAGTGAATAAGAGAAAGAAGTCACTAAATTGTACCCTTGCCGGGATATTGTTGCTTTATTGGTTATCTCCCTTGCTGGGATGTTGATATTATTGATGTTGCTCCCTTGCCGGGACTTAATTGTTAAATTGTTGTTCCCTTGCCGGGATTCCTATTATAATCTTGTTTATTCCCTTGCCTCATTGTTTGTGATTGTTATTTGGGTGAGGAAGAGTGTTAAAGCACGAAGGATGATGCCGTGTATTGTTTGTTTTGTAAGGAAGAGTGTAAAACACGAAGGGTGATGCCGTGTACGATTGTGAAGAAAGAGANTGAAAAGATTACGGCACAAAGGGTGATGTCGTACACTTATTGCTTTATTATAATTTATTTTATCATGTAAGAAAGAGAGTAAAGCATGAAGGGTGATGTCGTGCCACACGATGTACCATTCCGTGCCGATTTTATTGATTATATGGTAAGGAAAGAGAGTAAAAGCACGAAAGGTGATGTCGTGCACACTTTTATTATATAATTGCTTTGGTGAGGACGAGAGTAAAAGCACGAAGGGTGATGTCGTGCATTTGTGAATTTCTGATTCTTTGTTGATATCCGAGTTATGTTGTTCTTTCATTACTTGATGTCTTTCTATTCGGAATTGTTATCTCCCCCACAGCATGCTCCCCCTCCCATATTGACTGGTTATTTCTGTATTTTTTTCCGCTGTATATATTTGAACTGCACAGGTTTATTTGGTAGTCTGGTTCTAGCCTCGTCACTAATTCGCCGAAGTTAGGCTAGGCACTTACCAGCACATGGGGTCGGTTGTGCTGATACTACACTCTGCACTATGTGCAGATTCCGGAGCAGCTTTTGGACCATAGTGTGGAGGCTACCTTCAGTCCACGCAGAGATCCAAGGTAGACCTGCAGGCGTTTGCAGGCCCTGGCGTCTCCCTCTATCCCTACTTTCCCGTTTCATTTTCCTTACATTCAGAAACAGTGTATTATTATTTCTTCAGACTTTGTATGTAGTAAATCTTATACCGTCTGTGATACTGTGACACCAGATTTAGAGTGGTTAAAACTTAAGTATTTGTAATAGATGCAGATTTCAGACATTTGATTGTTATCTTCCACTTAATTATTTAAAGTTCCGTTATTTTCATGTTATCGACTTATATTTGTTAAAAAGAAGTAATTTGATAATGAAGTAAGTAGTTAAGGATTGGCTTGCCTAGCTCTCATTAGTAGGCGCCATCACGACTTCCGAGAGATGGAAAATCCGAGTTGTGACAAATCGGTTACGCCCGATTTTAACCGTATACAGATAGTCCCCTCGTTTCTCGGAGTGTAATAAGAAGAAATGAACTAAGTCTTCGATACCTCGACCTGTCATGACGTCATCCTCGTGACGCAATTGACAGAAGTTACTGATATGTCCTGTTGGTTCATATAACGAGGCATTAAATGTCTGTTAGTTGATGTCAGCCATTATTGGTTCTGAACCGTCTTCTTCATCCTATAAATATGTGTAAACACGTGATTTTTGCCCTATATGAAAATTACTCCCAAAAAATTCAAAATCAAATGATTTTCCTTGGTGTGCAATTTTGTGAGATTTTGTGATATTTTTGGATAATTATTTGTATTTGTCTGTGTTTGCTTATTTGTTAAATTAATAAAAAATACAAAAATATGTCGCATTTTGCATGTAGGATTTAATTCTACAATTTGTTAGTAATTAAGTTTGTTTACAAAAAATGAAAATTACAAAAATAGGCATCTTTTGCATTTTTAGCATTTAATGTCCAAATATACAATTTTATGCTTAATTATTACTTAATTGTGCGTTAATTGTTATTGGTAGTTAATTTGCGCTTTTATAACTTAATTTAGTTCTTAATAATAATTTAAGTATTTTTATAATTTAGTTTTAGAAAATAAAGGAAGAAAAGAGAACAAAAATACAAAGAAAAATCGGATTGGGCCACTTCTTCAA